GTTGCGAATGACGAGATGTCTTCGTGCCAAATCAAGTTCTTGGAGATAAATTGAAAACGGATAAGCGCCAGCGCGCTTAGTCAAGATACAGCATTGTGTTTTTACAGTAGTATTAAACTGTACCAGATTGCTGCGTCCCCAAGCGGTGAGAACCTCCAGTGCTCTCATCAGAGAGGAAGTCGCTACTAGCTTATCAGTAGATATCAGCTTTCCACACTGAATGCCTGCGTGTAGAGTGCTGTCATCGACAAAGTTGTGGATTGGATTGATCGTGCAGGAGAGGAAATCGTTTACATTTGATAGAAACAATGTTGGGGCCAAGACCGGTCCTTGGGGACCACCCGCATTGGCATTGCGAGACGAACAGGAGAAACCGTCAATTAATATAGATATCTTGTTAATTTCAAAATATTAGAGTAAAGATCAGCCTCCTCATCACCATTCAAAACGAATGTGCCATGGTTGAACCATTGAGGCTGTTGTCGCAACACAATGTATAGTTACGAAGAAAATAAAGAATAAATAAACTGTCACCTGGAAGACAAATAAACAAGATATATCAATATATTGTCGTTGTATTTGAAAAAGGTCACTGTGGTGGTCGATATGTTGTATAGTAAACAGTTAGTAAAACATATGTGGTTTGATTTAGCGGTCAGAAAATCACGATCATTCAAAAGCTATCCTATGTGCATCATTGCGTTTCTTTTTTGGCTGAAATTATGATTTAAAAAAATGATCACGTTTAAATTGTAAAAGGTACAGCATCTCCCTTTCGTGTCAACACTATTTTTTAGACATTTTTACACCGCTCTCAGGAACTAGCTTGTACTGCAACCACTATCATAGCTTTTTTAATAAAAAAATAATTTAATAGAGACGCTTTTATCAACAAATTTTTAAACCACCTTGTCTATAAAGGGTAAGGGCATGCCGCATGCCATCGAGTCAACCCAAATCCAGGCACGTGGACCGAGTTCACATAAAGCTAAATGGTATATAGGCATGGGCGCATCTGAAACCTGTAAATTGAAAGTTACTAAGGATGTTAGGAGAAATACATTTTTGATTACGGTGCTCCTCAGAGACGTGTATCAATATATACGGCCTTAACGGCGCTCTCACAGTCAAGCAGAGTTTCTGAGGGGAATCGGGGGGGTGATAGGGAAACGCTAGTAGGACGGCGTTGTGACAAGGCAAGCGCTCTACGTTAGAAAAGGATAGTAATACGCAGAGGTGTGCTGTTCGCGTGCCTGGTTGAATTTGCATATTGCACAGAGTCGGATTTGATTTGGATATACGATCTAGCGTACGACTGTTTCCCTAGTTTGGCGCATAGTATACCCAGCCCTTATTACTCTTATTACCGTTATTGTATTGCTGTATTATCGTGTTGTTATTGTTGTGTTGTTATTGTTGAGTGTCTTTCTTACCAAGGTATCAAAAATGAACAATAAGAGAAATAAACGTGGCGTCTCGAAGAAGCCGCATTTAAATACGCACAGGATAATAATATTGTAGAGCAGTTTAACTCAATCATAGCTAAATTCATTGGGGGTAAACGGATTAATTATTGCAAGAAGAGATCCTACCAAGGAAGATGTGCTGCAGCCGTAGTGAGCCACAATACACAGCGGCCTGTTTGTGTGATCCAAAAGCGGCTACTCCCTAGTTTCAGTCCAACCTCTTTGATTGCTAAAGTTAAAGAAAGGAGAGCGCACAAAAATCTTAAAAGAAAGCTGAAACCAAGGAAAATTAAAATCAGAGATAGTGATACTAAAGAGAACGCATCCTATGGGGAATTCTGTGAAAAGCCTGACATGAGCAACGAAGATATATACAGGGTTATCCAAATTAAGTGTCCACCATTAGTAACTTTGTTATTAGTGAAAATACAAAGTTGTTTGAATTAGCAAACTAGTAGCATTTTTAACGCTGGTAAAAATGAGAAATAAAAAAAAACAATTGAGAGTCGTTATTTTGATTTTTTTCAGTAAAATAACATTTTTTTAAATGGAAACCCCTGTATATTATATTTTTTTCTGTTAAAGCATCAAATTTTAAACAAAAAAGTTCATAATGACTTTTCCGCTAAAGTCAAAAATAAAGTCAAAATAACGATAAATATTTTTAATTATTTGCAGTATTATAATATTAAGACGGCTATGAAAACAACATGGCGTTCGCGATTTGACAGCATTAAGATAAGCGACAAATTGTTAAACTGGACATACTCGCAACTAGAAGGCTTTGGAAAACAATGATAAAATCAAATAATGTCAAACATTAGTGTAAATACTTGTTTATAAGCTTTATTGTGTCATTAATTTAAAGAAAAATGTTCTCCCATGAAGAAAAGTGTGATATGTTAGAATGCTATTTAGTGTGCAGAAAATCCTCCTTGAGAGCAAGAGAATACTACAGTGAATTATATCCCGCTCGCATTCAACCGTATGAACGATATTTTCTGAGACTTTATCGAAAATTTAGGGGCAACGAAAATGTTTTTGCTAAAACAAGGGCAAAAAAAGAATTCATAATAAGCGAGGCCACGGAAATTGCAGTTGTTGGATATTTTGAAGCTTATCGTGAGAATTCAATAGCAGATATTCTCAAGGACTCTAATTTCAGTTATGGTACTGTTCAAAGGATTTTAAAAAAATACAAATTTATTCCGTATAAGTACCGACCAGTTCAAACGCTTTTGGCAGGGGATCCAGAGAGAAGACTTGTTTTTTGCCATTGGTATCTTAGCTTCTGTCGCCAAAATGTAAATAACTTTCGTTACCTTTTATGGACAGATGAATCAAATTTTTCAAATTCTGGAATGTTTAATAGAAAAAACCACCATTATTGGTCAAGAGAAAATCTTTTGTTAGTACATCCAAGAGGCCCACAAGTTTCAGTTTCAACGTTTGGTGCGGTATAATTGGTTCAAAAATTGTTGGCCCGTTCTTTTATGAGGGAACCCTAACTGGTGAAAGATATGTGGAATTTATGTCAGAAATTCTGACTAATTTCTTAGACGAATTGGATCTTATAAGTAGACATCATCTGCATTTTCAGCAAGATGGCGCACCTGCCCACAACTCCAGAGGTACTTATCATTTTCTAAGTACTACTTTTAATGATCAGTGGATAGGAACAAATGGCCCAATACAGTGGCCTCCCAGATCACCAGATCTAAACCCACTTGATTACTTCTTGTGGGGTTACTTAAAGAACCAAATTTACAAGCGAAGGTACGATAACCTTGACGCGTTAAAGACTGCAGTTAGGGAAAAGATAACCCAGATAGATGGTAGGACCATACTTAAGACAGTTCGAGCAGTTGAAAAACGTGCCCAAAAATGTATTGAAGAACAAGGTGGTGTTTTCGAGCATCTTCTTTAAAAAAAATTGTTATTGTATTTTGTAAGATTATAAGTTGATGTTGAAAATAAAGTTTGTCGATACAATTTCATTGTTTCAGATTGGAGGCCATAACTTCAACAATTTGTAACCTAGGAGAAAAGTTATTGTAAGCTTTTTTGTTTAAAATTTGATGCTTTAACAGAAAAAAATATAATATACAGGGATTTCCATTTAAAAAAATGTTATTTTACTGAAAAAAATCAAAATAACGACTCTCAATTGTTTTTTTTTATTTCTCATTTTTACCAGCGTTAAAAATGCTACTAGTTTGCTAATTCAAACAACTTTGTATTTTCACTAATAACAAAGTTACTAATGGTGGACACTTAATTTGGATAACCCTGTAGAGGCTGCCGAAGTAGAATTCTTGAAAAAACTTGCAAAAACCGACTCCGAAATTTCCCAGATCGAGCAAGCCACAAAATCTCAGGATTGCAATTTGTAGCATCTTCATCGAAGAATGAGGTTGACTGCGTCTCGATTTGGTGAGGTTTGTAGAAGAAGAGATACAACAAGTTGCAGAGCTCTAGTAAACGCCATAATATACCCAACCGAATCCTTTAGCAATGCATGTGACTATGTAAAAAAGCATGAAAGCGTGGCAAAAGCAGAAATAGAGAAATCATATTCGCAATCAGAAGTACAATCTTGCGGGTTGTTTATTGATAGGACCCATCCATTTCTGGCAGCATCGCCAGATGGTTTGATAGGCGAAAAAGGTCTGCTAGAAATTAAATGTCCATGGTCGGCTAGAGAAATGACCCCTAAATTAAGTTTTGGATAAACGATGAAATAAATAAAAACATAAGTGGTATTACCAAATTCAAGGGCAGCTACGCGTTGCACAAGGAGAGTACTGTGTGCTTGGTGTTTGGACCCCGTATGGTTTGAAATTAGACGTCATTCAAAAGGATGACGTTTTCTGGAAAAATGAAATGGAAGAGAAATTGAAATTCTTCTACATGAACTGCTGGCTCCCAGAACTGGTCGATCCCAGGAAAAGCAGAAATATGCCAATTCGCGATCCCGATGTGATCTTGAAGGCACAAGAGAACCGTTTGAACAAGAAAAAGAGTTCTTGAGAATTGGCTATTTTTGCTGTACTCGGGTACCAAAATGGAAGAGATTAGCATATTACATTGTACGCCGTTACTAACCCCTACGTGTCGGCAAATGCTGTGTGCAGATCTCGCTTTAGCAGCGATGTGCGAGTTGTTAAACTAATCTCTTCCATTTTGGTACTACTACCAGATGTTCACTATTTATTGTATATTATGTATATATATATATATATATATTGTTTATTTAACCCTATAATACTAACCATTCGTAAAATATACGAAAGCATTTTTCTTTTTTGAGAATTGGCAACCATGTATCCAACGTAAGATTTTGACCGCACGTGTAGCTTCCTCAGTTGATGTACTGTACCAGCGCAGACTAGTGTCATAGTAATTCACCTAACGCACGTGTGTGTAATCGAAGGCTCGTCGAATTTTTTACGAAAGGTTAGTATTTACGTTATAATTTTTTTAGGGCATATACGAAGATTTTTTGAATTATTTTAGAATTCAGTTAACTACAGCATGGCCAAGAAGTGGGAAGACATAAGGCCTTTATCTCAGAAGGAACTAGAAGACCTTATACCAAAATCTGATGATGAACTCGAAGATTTTTTGAGGCTTTCTAGCGGATCAGAAACTGAGTATAACTTGGAAGAAGATTTCAGTCTTTCTGAATCAGAATATGAGCCCGAAACATCTGATAGAGAAAGCACTGACTTCGATGAATGTAACTATAGAAAGCGGAGAAGAATTAATAGAGGGTCGAAGCCAACACAGGAACATTTTCCAGTAGAGTGTGATCAAGGAGATGGCCAAGTAGACCAGCTTGCTGCACAAAATTTGGAAGATGAACAAAGTGTATCAAATGACCAGGAGATTGAAACACAGAGACCCAATATAGAAAACTTCTCTCAAACAGAAAGAGGGGGAAGTAATCAGGATATTAGCGATAATGAAGATCTACATAACTTGGGAGATAAACCACATGAAACTATTCTCAACAAGGGGATGCGGGGCAAAAACGGTCACCGATGGTGTACAGTGTCCAACATACGTAAGCGCGTTCCCCATCGAAACATCGTTCACGTGATGCAAGGTCCATCTGGGGCGGCACGCGATGCCGATAGTCCTTCAGGTGCATTCCAGTGTTTATTCGACGAATCTATTTTTGGAAAAATTTTGGAGCACACAAATGCTCACATTGCAATAAGATGTGGAAACTACAAGGTGGCTAAATCTACTGTTTCTACCACGACCAGACAGGAATTGAATGCCCTCATTGGGCTGCTTATATTTGCTGGTGCCCAAAAAGACAATCACTTGAGCACTAGGGAAATGTTTGACTCGAGGAAATCGGGTTCTTATTATAGGGCAACGATGAGTTGTGAGAGGTTTGAATTTCTAATCAATAATCTGCGATTTGATGATAAAGCGACACATAACGAAAGAAGAACTGTCGATAAGTTCGCGCCTATAAACCGGGAAATTACATCACAATCGATGAACAATTGTTGGGCTTCAGAGGCCGCTGTCCATTCAAAATGTACATTCCGAGCAAGCCTTCCAAATATGGAATAAAGATTGTGATGACATGTGATGTGGGGACCAAATATATGCTAAATGCAGAGCCTTACCTTGGAAAACACACCAGCACTCACGGTGTACCACTAGCAGAGTACTACATCAAGAAATTGACTAAAGATGTACATGGAAGTAACCGCAACATCACGATGGATAATTGGTTTACTTCTGTTAGTCTGGCTGACCAGTTATTAAAACCACCATATAACCTAACGATTCTTGGAACGTTGAGACAAAACAAACGCGAAATTCCTCCTGAAATGCTCAACCTACAAGACAGAGAAGTAGGAAGCTCTTTATTCTGTTTTGACCAGCAAAAGACTTTATTATCCTACAAAACTAAAAAGAATAAAAGCGTTTTAGTCTTGTCTACCATGCACGAGGGATCCAGAATTTGTCAAAATACCCAAAAACCCGAGATTATCTTGCACTACAACCAGACAAAAGGAGGGGTAGACGCATTTGATCAAATGTGTGGAAATAGAAGTTGTTCGAGAAAAACTCGCAGATGGCCCTTGTGCATGTTCTTCGGAATGCTCAATATGGCAAGTATTAATGCATGGATAATATATAACCATAATTTGCAAAAACGGGGTAAACAGACAATAACTAGGAAGGCCTTTATGAATCAACTGCATGAAGAATTGGTAAGACCATGGTTAGAACAACGCTTAAGAGTGCCAACTTTACAACGCTCACTCAAGCTCTTAATCAGTGATATAATTGGATTTCCACTTCCGAACGATCAAACAGAACCTCCTGCTCTGAGACGCACCACTTGTTATATCTGCCCCTCAAAAAAACGCCGAATGACGTCACTATACTGCACCCATTGCCGACGCGCATTTTGCGCAGAACATCGTGCCCGTTGTTGTGTAACATGCGATGCCGATAAATAATTTATCATTTAACACTCTTTTGAAATTCCAAATAAGCATATGTAATACAAATCTGTAATAAATTCTTTTGGAAAAACCTTTTTTTTGCTGCCCTTTTCACAGTCGTAAAATATACGAATGGTTAGTATTCACGCTACTTCAATTGAAGGTTAGTATTGCAGGGTTAAATAAAAGTCAATCGTCAGGCTCAATAGCACGTAGCATCGGCTAGCTTTATCTAGTCTGTTAGATGGCGAATATTGAAATGTCACATTGACACGTTAAGCGCCACAGTAGAATCTGAAAATCTAGTCCACTGGGCCAAACTGTTATTATTGTCAAATTAGCTTGTTTTAAGTTTCGGTTTAATATTTTGACTTGCCTTTTTCCTCAAATCCTATGATTTTTCCCCTTTTTTGATTTTTTTTTCTGAGCTACTAGTTGTATGTCGCGTGGCCCACAGACCAGTCGGGTCGCGTGGCACTTAAGTCGCGTCGCGTTTTTTGCAAGTCAAGACTTGCATCATGTCGCGCGTTGAGCACTGTTTCGTGTCATTTATTATTGAAGCGTTGTTGGTATTGTACGTCATCTTGTCCAAATTGCTTTACTGTTTATAAATTATTGAATACCAAATTGCGTGATGTCGCATTCCGAAGCGGAGCAAAAAAGGCTTGAACAATTGTGTAATGAAATACTATCGGATGAAGAGAGTGGCAGTACTGAGTTATGTGGGGATGTATACTTATCTGATGCGTATTCTCCAAGTGGTAGTGAATCAGATAGTAGTTGTAGTAATTCCATATTTATCTTGTATTACTGTTTATTTATACCTGTATTTTGTTTATTCCTGCATAAGACTTTATCAATCTGTTTAGTTTATAAGAGTTCCTCCATATTTGTGTTCGTTAGAATATCGACATTTACCATAACTTACTGATTTGCTGTGAAATTACTTTGTTCATTCTTGAATGAGAATGTCTGATTATTTTATAAGATTTGCTTTTTGTTTTAGATTTGTAGAATATCCTTTTTTTGTAAAACTCTATGAACAACGTGTTTTTTAATGTTTTCATTTCCAATTCAGTATAATTTGGTCCCTCAGGCCACGGACTCTTGGTTCCCGTAAGAAAATCACATCAGCATGGCACACGTCTTACGTTACGCTGCCAAATATAACTGCCAGCAGTGAGACATATAGTATCATGTGTGTCACGAGTCCCAAAGCGCCAAATGAGGTGCGGCACACGCATTATATCTCATGACGCTTATCGTGTTAAGTTTATTTTACGATACTTCATAAGGTTAAAGCTAAACAGCAAGTGACATTTTATTTGTGTTAAATGCGTTCACTATAATTATTATTTTTAAATAAAAATATTACCGCCTCCAATGACCCTGGAATCACCTGGAAACTTTTGGTCACAAAGTTCTGTATTTTACCACACATGTCAAGTCTTTTCATTTGATATGTAAATTGGGGGTTTTGTACAAAAATATGTAACTCGCAATTTCGAAACGGCGGCAATCTTGGAATCAAATTTTTAGTGAAGTACTGTATTCTACAAGGCGACGACTCTTATTTGAGATATTAGCAAGTATGTTATCCGCCATTTTGTGACGGCCGCCATCTTGATTTGAAACTGTTTTCGTATTACTGTTTTGTACAAGTGCTTCTATTTGATATCCATATTGGGGTGATTGAACAAAAATGATTTTTTGTGGTATCACCTATTGTATAAAAAGAAATGATCAAAATCGTTAAAAAATTTCCCCTCTTTCATTGAAGTCTATTAAAAATGTCACTTACTGGTCCGATGTTTATCTCGAACGACCGACGTCAAAACTGCTACTGTTTAACTTGGGGCAACAAATTATCTGAATACGTCCTTTCTTAGTCCGTACACACCGCCGCGTTGCTTCGACTGGCAGCACGAGATAGTGGATAAAATTCGTGTAAAAGCCTATTTGCAGAGGTTTTCGCGCTTCAAAATTGACGCTTCATTTTTGAATATTTTTCAATGAAATTTTCACAGTGCACTAAAAACAAGACTCCACAGGGTGCTATAGAGCCACTTTTTCGTTTTTTCCTCTGGGTTATTTTTAAAAAAATCGAAAAGTCGAACAACAATTATCTGCACTTCCACCCACCATAACTCCTGAAAAAATTTTTTTTTTAGAAAAGTGGCTCTATAGCACCCTGGACAACTGTCTTCTGAACATACTGTATAAATTTTATTCAAATATATAGAAAAATGGAGCGTCAATTCCGAAGCAGCTAAACCCTTGTAAATGACCTGAAACTCACTGCGTCGGAGCCGCCTTAAAAGATGAACAAGTATTTTTCAATTCTAGTATCTTTCTGCAGCAGTGTCAAATAAAAATCAATAGCTACTAAAAACAAAATTTTAGCCGCAGCCAAAATTATATGAATACGCAGAGATAATGCCTTGCGAAAACCATATAGTATCCGCTAGTGCACAATTTATTTTCATAATTTGCAACAAATTTATAGCAAAATGTATCAGGAAATACGGAAGGAGACAAGCCAACAGAGCTCAGTATTTTTATTGTCATCAATTATGAGTAGGAAGAAAAACGCGTTTTGAGAATAAGGGTTGTTCCTTATTTAAATGGACATAGTGGAATGGACAGCGACCTTTTGATTTTGATAAAAAGACGAAAAAGTGGTCCTGGTATTTCTAACTATCAACATGAAACTTTGTTACCGTGCAAACTTTCGAAAAAATCGGTTCAGTAGTACCTCAGATATATAAAAGATCTCGGTCCATACTACCTACCTCTTCACGATATCCATTCAAGTGCGAAACACCCTGTATATCACTTTTATGGCTTTTAGTCTCACGTTTAACCTTGAAAATACCAGACTATCTTTGATTTTTTGCAGTTATCAAACAGCATTTCTATTATTAATTGTTGGCCTTGTAAAATAGAGCCTGTACGCCCATGTTAGATAGATAAACCCTGAGTATCACGGACGTGTCACGTGGTCTAGAGTTGTCAATCGTATCAAATTAGGTATACATGTATGTACGTCTAGTTTAATTTATATTCAAGCGAATATCTAACTTTACGGGGTGACACTATAACTATATGCTACCGCGAAGAGACTCATTTTAATGGTGTATATTTTCTTATACGGAAACATGAGGTCTGTTGAAAGTATATATGAATTTTATGATTGTTCTTCAAGTTGGTGTGATTTCAAGAAAAAATTGATGTCGTTCAACTCCTCATGCCAGGTAGATGATTGAAGAATCGGGATCGTGAATTTGCGACAAGTTTCGTTCTGTACATACATATACAGGGTGACTTCGAAGTTGAGTCATTTATTTTAACAGTGAGTACATCTGATCAAAAGAAATGTTTTTTTCCTTTACCATTTTTCTGGTAAAATTAAAGTAACAAAGTTATAGCCCTTTGGAAGTTTGAGTACCGCCCTGTCTCAATAATAATATCATGTGCTCGTGTTTGGCAACAACGGATATAATCCGCCTTACCGATTCATCGCATCGGAAACAAAAAAGCGAAAGAATTTGGAACGATGTTTTTACAATTATTTTATTCAGTTCAGTTATACATACATTCAGTGTCAGTCGGTTAGCGTGTGAATAGTGTCTGTTGCGTGGCTCAAACGAAATAAAAAATGGCACATGTTTATGCGGATCGGTTTCCCAATCGAGTGCAACCAACCCCTCGTGCCTTTGTTAATGTAGTACAACGGGCTCGTGAATCAGGTGACTTAAGATCTCACAGGGGACCTCACGATCAAATACAGGTCCGCACTGAAATACTTGTCGGGAGGATACTTTATAAAACAAGGTAAACATTTTTTTTTTATTTTTACATACATATTCTGGTTTATCTTCCTTCTACAATCATTATCTGAAAATTATGACTCAACTTCAAAGTCACCCTGTATACTTCATATCTCACTTCATTTGGTGTCTCTCGTAGTTTCTTTGTTGTGATTTCAGTAACTGCTGCATCTGTTTGACAAGAATTTGATGTATTTTGGACATAAGAATATCCTTGTACCGCCTTCCGGTGCTTACTTTTTTATACCCGACTGCTTCAGAAAGAGAAATATGTTTTTCACGC